ATATATTGCCTATTATTTTCGACGTTGTGATCAACCCAATCGAACAAAAAGCGCAACCACCAAATATACATATTGTTAATATGAATAGCCGAAGGAGTACTAATGAAGTCGAATTGTCAAACTCTGTATTATCTTTTCCGAACTTACGGATACGTAAAGCTCATGACCGCGAGAAGAATGTGTACATCGAATACGAAGCTAAGAGTCCTAATTTCTATCTGAGTTGTGCTTATGTTTTATATACACGTCTTTTTTTGCACGCAGCCATTCATTCTTCATTACTAAAAGAAGATATCGAAGAGAAAAAGCAGTCGAATTCGACATCGAGAAACAAGACAGAGTATGGTGTGCTATATGACTTTTATTCGTATTGTGATAAAGATAAATCAGGTAAGTTTGATGAGGATGAATGTAGTATTGCTCTGTTAACTTTATTTAAATATATCGATGAGGGGCGGTCACTAAATGCCGATATAGTTCTTCCAATTGCTTATGAACATGATGATGATCAAAATAATGAATATTTTACTGAGAAAGATTTTCTCACATTAATTGTCGATACAATGACTGAATATATACGTATTCATACGTTTCCTTGTCCGAATGATTTGACGCCACCGTCGATTCACAACATGAACAAGAAAATCGAAAGAATTGCGAATGCAATTGAAGAAACACAAAAGGACGCTCTTCAACGAAGCAGTACCAAGTCTCCAAATCCATTTTCATTATTAACAATTTTTCGACACATCGGAGTTTTTGTATTATATATTTTGATTCTACCAATCATTGTTTTTAATGTCATATACAAGAGCTTCCCAAAAAAAAACATGAAAGGAATAAAGGCTATCATTCGACGGTTGTCTATCATTCTTTTATCAACTATTGGTGGACTAATTGCATGTGTTATCTATTTGATTATAATCAATCTTGGTCTGTTTCATAAATTTCATGAGGTTAACGTTGCTTGGCATGTTAGTTCACTTGAAGTTTATTGGCCATTTGCATTAATAATTGGTATTGTTTGCATTGCTTATATCTATGGATCACGTTTTCACATGAATGCTGACTACATCAAGAATCAAGACATGCAACAAAAGTATGATGAAGCTGAATTGGACTTTCTTAAACACAAAGCTATAGTGAATGTGCCTTTGTCTAAAGGACATCAGTGTATGACAGTGGCAGAATTAGAACAAAGTGTCAATGAAACAGTATTGATGGAACATGAATCTAATGATAATAGTAAAAAAAATTACGTGAAAAAGATCATTGATATTTTCGGTGATATTTATCAAAACCAAAAGAAAACTCCGAAGAGGGTGATCTTATTGGAATTGGTCGGACTCATTGTTGTTGTTGGTATTGCAGTGACACGTGCCTGTATACCAACAATTTATCGTAAATATAATCCTCGCTACACATATCCGAACACGACAAAACCATCCCAGGTTGAACTTATTAACGTCTGCTATTATATTATTAGTCTACCGCTCTATTTCATATACCTGTTAATGATTTTATATGGATATTACTTGTATTATAATTATTACAATAAGCTCAACGTTGTTTTACAAGCACCGATCAACAAAACCCGATATGGTGTTGTACAAAAAGGTGATAATAAATACTTTTTGGATTTAAGACGTCAACAAAGTCTTGAACTTTTCTTCGCGCAGTTACGCCAGATTACCAAACTGAAAGATACGATCGAATACCAAGTAAGAATACAATTGATAAGATCGAATCGGAAACTCTTTTTCCAACATAAGATTGTTAATGCATGTTAAATTTAATAACGAGAAAAGTGTACTTCTGACCTCATAACTCACAGATCGTGACACACGTACCCACATGACAAGGAAAAACAGCCTAGGGGTAGTAGCAATGATCATAGTGATGAGCTATTATATCCTTGTACAAGATGATTGTAATCAAAATTTCCGAACAAGATGAGCTTCATTTGTAAAAAAATGTTCAGTTTCAGAATATAAGTGGATTTTCTTGAAGATTAACAAGAAATTACTTCAACTGTATCATGCATCAAACCTTGTGCCATCAACCAAGCGCATTGATAAATGATAAGAAACAATACAGAACCTTTTATATGTAGTTGAATGAGAATGTGAATTGATTGAATTCTCACAGTGGCCATTGTGACTTTCCATAATTCAGAATTGTGATCGTAGTAAAAAAATTCTTGCTCATGATGATTGCTAGAATACGCGAGTTTTCAGATTTTCGGCTGTTTTTAGCACATCTGAAATACTAAAATACAAATCAAACCATTTCTTTCCTCGTTGTTATATATATTTCTCTCTTAAAAATGGTGTCATAAGAAATCATTGAGTATTTTAGTCAAGATGCTGAACTGTTTAACATTGCATTTAGTTATCGTTTGGCTATGAAAATTTCTAGGTAATTTAAAAAACCATCAAACATAATTTTAGTATAACTCGCTTGAACTATACTGAAAAAGAAGTTGTCAAAAAATCCTCCGAGGCATGTAGAAATTTACAATACCTTTAGACTATGTTACGACTACACAAAACTTCACTGCTTCTTTGTGAATTTCTCATACGTACTGTACTCAGAAGGTTTCTCAATATACTGTTTTATTTCCGAATCTCCATAATAGAGACAGCTATTCCAAAATAAAAAACTGAAGCAATTAAATCATTCCTGCATGCAGCTCGTTCTAGCGACAACATGAAAAGCAACGAATATATCACTCAAAATTTTTCATTAAACTTTTGAGACTTTAATATGTTGCTAGTAGAAACATAGCTTTTGCATGCTAAACAGCTTTTTATCTTTAGAATTCATGATTCACTTCAACTATGAATTCGCTGTAGCTTTCTTAAAAACAGCGATTAGATTTTAATTGCGAAAATATTCTTCTTTTCGCGTCATTTGACTTTAGTCATGCTCAAGTGACGTGTTTAACAATACAACACTTCTTCGCTTCCAATTTAACACAAAAGCAGACGAATAAACACATGAGACAAGAATAAAGATAGGTGCTTCCGCATCACTTTATCACGATAAACACAGGTATAAGTATACACACAAACAGTCTGATAAACACAAATGCATCATACCAGACATACATAGATGAAATTATATATAGATTCAGAGCTTTCGACATAGACATAAGGGTTTAGATAGCGATAAAGGATAACTCGAAGAGAAAATGAATTAGAAATATGAATAACGGGTTACACATAGGAATCAGGGATTAAGAATAGGATTAAGAAATTCTATACTGCATACAAAAGTTAGATACAGAAACAATTGATAAGACATATAAATAAGGGTTTCGCATAGAAACAAAAGGCAATATATAGAACTTATGGGCTACATATGGAAATAAGAGTTATATGTAAAATTAGAGATTGTGAATAGAAAAAAGATTATATACAGAAATAAGGGGTTAGATATAGAAACAAGGAGTTAAGGATGAAAATAAAGGTTTAGATATACAATTCAAGGATTAAGAATAGAAATAAGAGGGTAAAGATAGAAATAATGAGTTGGTGATAGAACTAATTAGCAGCACTAGACTTTGTGTGCTGGATGAGCAGCTGTTCACCAGAGGAGAACTTTTTCGGAAGAAAAAAAAAGAACGATCGAGATAGAATTATATTTTGCTAGAATTTTTAAAGGTTCAGAAAATAGTACCCAAATCTGGAACTCTTAAAGGATCAGTATGACGCCTTTTTTATTAGAAATTTGTGGCATCCATTATAGACTGATAGAAGTGACGCGATTTTTTGCTTATTATTAAACCATCTTCATAGTGTTGCATATTTTCATTGTGCTGAGAATTCGTCGGAAGCTTTCTTTTACTTTCTCTGTCACTTAGCTTGCCATGGCTAGCATTAGCGGTGGAATCATTTTTACTCTAATTCTGGGTATTATTGCTATTGTTCAACTAATTTATTATCAACCTGGTGGTCTTGTAACATTGACAACTCTTCTAGGAATAATTGATGTAGGCATTATGATGATTCTTGTTGTTATCTTTCTATGCAATGTTGTCATTATCAATACGGCTTTGGAAAATGTAGGAGTATTACTCTTGTGTACGATAAAGGAAGCATTCATACACGCAACGAAATATAAAACGCGAAAAACTGAATGGAATATTGAATATCTGAGCGCGACGACTGAGCAATTTGTTGCCGATCAACGTACTTATGCCGTAACTATCTTTGGATTTGTCATTAATAAATCATTGGTCATCAAAGTTTCGTCAATAATGATAGGTTCCTTACTTTCACAGTTGGTATTGTTTATCAAGAAGCAAGTTGTTCAAGAATAAATATTGATCAATTCTTTTCTCTTCATGGCACATTGCTGACAAACTTTACTGCGATACTCTTACTTGTTCTGTTAATCACGAAATATGAGCCGAAATATAAACCTTGAACTATCTTTTCTCTCACGCATCATCTTCAATGGCATGAGGATGTGGGTGTGAGTGGTGTGGCTGTGGGTGTAGGTGTGGGATTGTATGGGTGTGGGGCGTGGGTGTGGATGGGTTCGAGATGTGGGTATTCTCTTTATTTCCACTCGCGCACCCACACCCCAGTGTTGGACAACTCCAACTCGGAGTTGGAGTTAACTCTGGAGGTGACGGTTTTTTTCATTAGAGTTCGAGTGAAGTTGGAGTGATATGTTGCAATTTGTGAGTAGAGGTGGAGTTGATGTCTTTTGTCAACTCCGATTTAACTCCTGTTGATTTAGGACTCGTCAGAAGAGAACAGAAAAAATTCGATAGTAAAAACACGTGTATGCGTATGGTATTCATGACGCAATTAAGAAAACTAGGAATGAATGACCTTGAATCATTACATCAAGAGGGAGAAAAATAGAGAGCGATAGAGAGAATTTAGTACGTCGTTGGTGACGTGATTAAATATTATTGGTTAAACAATTCGGCGCGTCGAGCATATATCTTTCTGATTTTTCATTACTTGTGAACAATCTGAATGCAAATGAATTCATCATCTGATGTAACAACAATTGACTTAACACTTCCAACATCTGATGGACAAATAAAATCTTCCGATGATGACAAGATGTCTTTCACAGTGAAGACAAAAATTGGTCGTCATGGTCTTGAACAATATGTTGAAGGTTTTAAAGAGTATATTGCAGGTGATCTGAAGGGTAAAACATCTGTCACGTGTATTTTATACAAAGTAACTGTTTGGCGTGTGAAAAATCCTACGTCAAATTATTGTCGTCATTTACAACGTAAACATAAAGCTGAATATGATTTGTGGTCAAAAAATGTGAACAGGATGAAAAAAATTTCTTTAGAAGACAGTTTATCTTCGTCTTCTCATATATCAAAATATGGGTCAGTTCATCCTCGTCAAGTGGAATTAACCCGAATGGTTTTTAATGACTTTAACATTGCACTAGATTTACCATTATCAATTACTGAAAAACCTGCATTTATTCAAGCTATGAATACAGTTGATCCAAAATTTCGTATTCCATCTCGACGGTCGATCACATCTGATTATTTATCAAAATTACATGAGCAGATTATCAACAAATTGAAAAATGCATGTTCATTAGCTGATTTTCTCTCATTAACATTTGATGGNAACAACTTCATACATAATACGCATATATATAGGAGAGAGATAGAAGAGAGACAGGAGAGAGATATATTAGAACAACGGCAAGAGAACAGACAGAGAAGGAAGGAGAATCATCGAACCGTGTCATCAATATCGGCACACTATTCCTTTCCATTCCTTTTGAATAATCGACCAAAGTTCGATCTTATTCTTTGGTGAGTAAGGCTTGAGTCGTCGTTCCAGCTCATCCCAGACGTGTTCGATTGGATTGAGGTCTGGCGACTGAGCTGGCCATTTGATGTTGTCGATACGATTATTTACAAACCAATCATTGATTGTTCCTGCTGTGTGTTTCGGATCATTGTCTTGCTGAAAAATAAATGATTTCATTTTGAGCTTCTTTGCTGATTGCTTTACATTTTCAGTTAAAATTTTTTCATACTGTTCTTTGTACATAGTCCCTTCTACAAGTACTAAATTTCCTACACCATTAGCTGACATACAACCCCAAATCATTATAGAACCTCCACCATATTTTACTGTAGGTTTCAAGCATTCTCTTTTCATCGATTCATGTGGTTTTCGCCAGACTATCTGGCGACCGTCTGATCCAAAAATATTGAATTTACTTTCATCCGACCACAAAATCGAATTCCAAAAGTCTTTTGACTTTGAAAGATGTTCCCGAGCCCACAACACACGTTTCCGTCGATTAGATTTTTTCAATAATGGCTTTTTTCGAGCAATGCATCCTTTATAACCTATTTCATGCATTCTGTTTCGAATCGTTTGAGGCGAAATCGATGTTTGATAATCATTCTTTAGATCCAGAGCCACATCTAATGCAGCCTTTCTTCGATCTGAGATTAGTTTTCGATGAATAATTCGATCAACGCGACTTGTAGTAAGACGTTTACGTCCACGTCCAATACGATTGATTACTGAACCGGTTTGTTTCCACTTCTTAATAATGCAATGCACTGTAGAACGAGCTAAATACAGGTCTGTTGCTATAGTACGAATTGAATCACCATTAGAATGATGTTTGATCACCAACTGACGAAGATCAGAACTCCATTCACGAACCTTGGGCATTTAAAAACAATAAATAACGAAACGATACAACAAACGAGTGAGAAAATAGATGAATTGAAATGTTCAAACAATGAGATGTTCATGACAATATATATTGTATATTGTGTTGTCTTTCCGTCATTTACTATCTTGCCTATACACAGCAACAGAACGAAAAAAATTTTTTTTTTCTCTTTCTTCACAATAACTTGCGCGTGAAAAGATAGGTGTTAATCTTATTCAAGGAAAATAGTTATCGTGCATTCAAGCACATCACCTTGTGGAGAATTCAATTCTCTACAAGCCTGTATCTTTCAAAAGATGTTTTGGCTTGATTTTGTCTCCTAAAAATAGAGAATATTAGATGATGTATATATAATACTAATTTTAATTAGCAATTATTATGTGTTGTATTTAATAATTTTCAAAACCAAAAGATACGATCAAATTCAGTTTTGTTTTCTCTTTCCAATGATATATTTGGAGTTGGGATTCTATTTCTCTGAACGTGGAAACTTAAGGTTTTCTGTAAAACCAATGGTGCTTCAGGTATTCGGAAGTTTTTGGCATTCTGTTAATATTTTTTTCTATTTTAAGACACATCAACGTATAGAGAAATGTTTTCTCTATCAAATAATGTGTAACTGAAAATATTTTGGGGTAGAATAAATGTGTCATAAAAAGAAAATTACAAGTGTCCGAATAATTTTTTTGTCTGAGAAATCCAGCATTTCATAGAAAACCGTCCAAAACTGTATGAAAACTTTTTCAAATAAAAAGTTTTTTTTGTGTGGAGTAAAGTAGAAGCTTCGGTCTATCGAATGATATAATCAGAGTTGAGAAAATGATTTTCCTTCTTTGTGAAATTCGCTTCACAAGATAAATATAGCAGGGTGTCCGAATAATTTTTTTACATAGTGTATATGTATTGTCAGAAACAAAAATCACATTTTAGTGGCAAAGGAAATAAATGAAAACATAATATGTACCTTCAAATGTACTATAAGCAGCACGATATGAAGTTGAATTGAATAGGTTAAATGTGACAAGAGAAAAGTTGGATGCGCATGCATTGAAAATCAAATCAAAAGAAAAACGTTTAATACGAATTCAAGATAAATGTGATGCTAACCACAAACTGTTATCAATATATTTGTAGCTGAATTTTGATTTCGTTTGGATAAAAGTGTAATTCCAATTTTGATGGTAATACGTACATACATGTACCCGTTAATTGATCAATAAAAATATAGATAATATGTGTTGTTTACATGATACGAACAAGTCAATGCGTTAAAGATTTCCTCCTAGGAATGGATACTCAAATTTCCACATATTAAGTACTAACAATATTTATCTCATTTTCTTTTTGTAGAACTTCCGTTTACTGCTCAGTATAATAATTAACACTCGTAATTGAGAAAACTATTATTTGTGGAATTGTGGGTGTGGATGTGGGTGAAGCTGTTCATGAATAGATACTAACACCAGCACCAACACCCACACCCACATAATACGTTGCTTCTTTTAATAGCATAGTTTCTAATTGATGTTTTTATTTGAAACATATCTTTAGAAGTTCAATGCACATTTAAAGTTGCCTCCTTTTTTCTAATAATTGTTTAGATTAACAATCTTATTTAAAAGAAGACAATTCTAGAGGAACCTGTTTTGAAAAATTCGAAACAAAAGGTTTTTTTAACTTAAATTATCTAAGCAATGCTTGCGAGTGTGCGGTTCAGGAAAAAAACCCACCATCAAGACTGCTTGTTCTCGAATACGTCGCGTAAAAATTAAGAAGATTTGTGAAAAATATTCTTCTTGCAATCAAAATAACGTTTTGAACTATGGATTTCAATGAACAACTAGAAAAAAACTTTACGTTTTCATAATTTTTTTATTGAAAAAAATAACATAAATGTGTCAGATTCCTTGAACTATTTATCAAATTCGAAAAATCATATTTCTTTGAAAACTATTAGCTTCTGTCACCTTACAGAAACCACGCCATGTCAAACAAAATGGATACCAATGTGTATAGTCTATTTGAAATGTATTTTCTTCCACAAGTATAAATTGTTTTTTCTTATTTATTATCATTCGTCGTCTGCTCTTTGTGTTGCATCTTATTTCTATAACGTCACACGTTCCGAATCGTCAATAATTATATCCTATCCTTGAATAAAAAATCAGTGAAGATCATACTTGTTTTTCGTTGTACATTTTTGAACGATGTTCATGACCTTATACATTAAATGGGAATGCATATCACTATGTCTATTCGCTCATGGTATACTACTCACCTTGAATACAAAAAAGACAAATAAGGTGTTGATGTCTTCGAAAAGTAATATACGAAGCATTCGAAGGAAAAGAACACTGTCAAAGTTTTCAAAACTATTTTAGTGTAACTTATTAGAATAGTTTAAATAGTAAATCAAAGTCGTTCAGAAGTCATATACATACCAACAATAGAATCAAATTTTTGAATCTTTTCTTTTAGCGAACCAACTGAATAATGTTTAGCAAGCAACTTTCTAATTGACTTATTTGTCTGCATTCATCTCACGTTTGTTTTATATCTTTATGTACCTTAATTCTATGATATTGTCTCTATTTTATATCGTTACTCCGTTGCCTTCTGATCGTCTAGTAAGCTGCCAGGGCGACGGCAGGTGCCGTGACCACATATACTCATGTGTCTAAGTGAGCAAAAAAGCCGCCAGCTACAGAACAATACCTCAGAGTGTAAAAGATACTTCGAAGCTTATAGTAATGAGTGTGACTAAGGGCATAAAGCTTCGAACTAGATGAAGAACGCATCATGTCAAGGCAAGAGACATTATATCACGCGTTAGTGTGTCAGAATAAGAGCGAAAAGCTTCGAAGATAGCTAAAGTTGATAGGATCAGAGCAAAAGAGTCGGTAAATACAGCAATTCTCAACATGAAGAGAAAAGCACTAGATGATCCCGCTATGTAGCAGTATAAAGTGAAAAAACTTCAAAACCATGCAACAATACCTTAGAGTGTATACGAAAAGTTTCGAGCTTCACGGAAGTACACCATGACTTTTATATTGCGTCAGAATATCGGCCTAATTAGACTTAAATGTGTTGAAGTTTTTCTGAGATAAGATGAAAAAACGCTATTCAGTCACGATTGGGCAGATGGTATTAGTAACTAAATAAGATAATAACATCTTCGAAAACTCATTTGGAGACTCGGACATTTTTCAAAATGAAATATCTATTTTCGAATAGTGTCGAATCTATGAATCGGCTTACACTTCTGACTGTTACCATGTCATAGGAAAAAACAAATTTTATTGAAATGCATATATATGTAAAATGAATATATTTGATTAGGTAAATAAAGAGATGAAAAATATCGAATGGAGAAAAAAAATGAAAATGTCGATAAAAGCGCTTAGAATATCAAAACAATATAGAAAACAGAATACAAGATACAAAATGAACGATTGCACAAAGAGCATCTACTCAACCGGTAATATAAATAAAATAAATCATTTTTGATTAAGCTAACATTTTGTTCTAATACTTATTTTCTTGTTAATTTGTAGTCTTCCTAACAAAAATAAATATTTTAAGTCCATATTGTAAGTGGAGGTATGTCTAAAACAAGTGAACTAACAAACAGTTCATAGGCTGGTTGACCTGATCAGAAAATTATTGAAAATGTTACATGCTCTTTTTTCTGATGATAAAACGCGAATGTATTAGTCATTGATTAGAAGAACTCTCTCAACATAAAAAGAAGCTATGATAGTCATATGATGATAATTGTCCAAAGTTATCATCGATAATGAAACGAAAAATTCTTACCTTCATGAGATGCCATCCTAGGCAAATAATTTTCTTTATCAAGAAAATAAATTGGATATTCGACAACAAATCCTTGAATACCTTTCAATTTTTGTTGAGTTTCAAAATACAAAATAAAAAGATTATTCAAAATATCTGCAAAATATATACATTCGCAAATATACTTTCATTGTAGCAAAAACTTCTTCATAAATCAATGCATTTTGTTTTGTTACATCTTGAAAATAAGAATAAAATTTATTTGATACTCAATCAGTTACATCAATATTATTTGAATTGTCGAATTGAATACCTAACAGTATCCTGAAAAGTCAAATACTTTTGTATGGAAATCATGGTAATTTTAAATATGAAACATACTCAAAGATCTTTTTACACCAGCTAGAACAAAATTTTTTTACAAGAACTGCCTCTTCATTAAACCGATCATCATCTTCTTCCAGATCATTTATTACAATACAAAATTCACTAGCACGATTACCAACTAATGAACAATCATTTATATTTGCACTATCACATATAGCCATACGATCATCAATGATCATTAATTTTGAATGAACATATATTATTTCAGTTATCTAAAACAGCACAACGATATATGTGAATTGTATCAATGATAAAATATTTTACTTACTAGACGGCCCATTAAAATATCATGATTACTCATACCAAAAAAAAATTAATATAAACTTTTGGTGGAATTTCTAAATATCAAAAACAAAGTTGCATGACATAGATATATATATATATTTATTTGAATTATAGATCGATTTTCAATGTACTCGAAATCGATTCAAAGATGTCTACTGCGAGTGAAAAGCTGATTGTATTCGAAAAAACTGTTTTACCATGCATTAGTTTATGTTTTCTAGATTTTACTGTATTCGGATTTTTCTGACTGAAAACAACAAGAGAATAAAATTCTATTTCAAATAAATTACATATATAGATATATGCTGGACTTAGCAATTGAGCGCATAATGAAATAGAGTACAGTTTGTACAGCATTCGTGTTATCAAAATCAGGTAAAACAGGAAGAACAATATAAACACGAAATTTTTTAGCATTTCTAATCAACACAAGAAGCTGTTTAAAATGTTATATAATGAAAAAAAAAAAAGTTCATACTTATGTGCTCGTTCTATACGTCAAAAAAGAACATCACCTAATTGGCTTCGAACTACTGAATTTTGAGCAATAGGAATAAATAAGTAATTCTAAATATAAAATAACAATCAAAACTTGTTTTTGTCTTTATATTACTCTACTTCAATGTATAGTCTACGACAAAAGTTTAAGCCAATTCATTTTTATCATTTTTTTTTCGATATTTGTTTCTTTTAACTTTTCTTTCCCTTTAAAAAGTATTGATCTGATTTAAATGATCATATAGATAGTACGAGAGACCGGCTACAATATGTACTATAGGAGGAGACTCTGTTTGTGTATATAGATTTTTTACAATTAAAATACTTTTTTNTCAAATACTTTTTTATGGAAATCATGGTAATTTTACATATGAAACATACTCAAAAATCTTTTTACGCCAACTAGAACAAAATTTTCCTACAAGAACTGCTTCTTCATTAAACCGGCCATCTTCTTCTTCCAGATCATTTATTACAATACAAAATTCACTATCATGATTACCAACTAATGAACGATCATCAATGATCATTCATTTTGAATAAACATACATTATTTCAGTTATCTAAAACAACACAACGAATATGTGAATTGTGTCAATGATAAAATATTTCACTTACTAGACGGCCCATTCGGATATCATGATGATGCATACGAAAAAAAATTAATATAATCTTTTGGTGGAATTTCTGAATATTAAAAACAAAGTTGCATGACATCGATATATATATATATTTAATTTGAAATATATATCGATTTTCAATGTATTCGAAATCGATTTAAAGATGTCTAGTGCGAGTGAAAAGCTGATTGTATTCGAAAAAACTGTTTCACCATGCATTAGTTTATGTTTTCTAGATTTTACTATATTCGGGTTTTTCTGACTGGAAACAAAAAGAGAATAAAATTCTATTTCAAATAAACTAAATATATATATATATGCTGGACTTAGCAATTGAGCGCATAATGAAATAGAGTACAGTTTGTACAGCATTCGTGTTATCAAAATCAGGTAAAAGAGGAAGAAAAATATAAACACGAAATTTTTAGCATTTCTAATCAACAAAAGAAACTTTAAAATGTTATAATTAATTTTAAAAAAAAGTTCATACTTATGTGCTCGTTCTATACGTCGAAAAAGAACATCAGCTAATTGGTTTTGAACTACTGAATCTTGAGCAATAGTAATAAATAAGTGATTCTAAATACGAAATAACAATCAAAAATTGTTTTTGTTTTTATATTACTCTACTGCAATGTATAGTCTACGACAAAAGTTTAAGCCAGTTCATTTTTATCAATTCTTTTTTTCGATATTTGTTTTTTTAACTTTTCTTTCACATTAAGAAGCATTGATCTGGTTTAAATGAGGATATACATAGTAAGAGAGACCGGATACAAGATGTACTATAGGAGCAGACTCTGTTTGTGTATATAGATTTATTACAATTAGAATACTTTTTCCCAAGCAAAAATAAGTTTAAGTACACTCCAATATTTCGCATTTCCTAACCAAGAGATTTGTGCTAAAATGAAAAGAAAATACACCGATAGATAGAGAATTTCGCGCTCTATCAGACGCCAAAGAGATTTTATTCTTAGAGTTTATCTTCACCTCAAAAATCTGATTTTAGTGAGCATAGCCGGAAGAAAAACATCCTGTTTTTCATGTCAAAAGAATAAAAAACACAAGTTAGTCGTGTTTTCCAAAGCTTTATTTCAAAAGATGGACGTGAAAAGCGGGTAATATTCAAACTTCAAATACTCCATTCTGTTCAGTTTTGAATGCTCTTTCCAATGGTGTATAATACATTGCAATAAGAGGATTTTGTAAGAATTAATTCCGCTTTTTCTAGCTATTCTCACTAAAATCAGATTTTTGAGGTGAAGATAAACTCTGAGAATAAAATCTCTTTGGCGTCTGATAGAGCGCGAAATTCTCTTTCTATCAGTGTATTTTCTTTTTCATTTTAGCGCAAATCTCTTGGTTAGGAAATGCGAAATATTGGAGAGTACTTAAACTTATTTTTGCTTGAAAAAAAAGTATTTTAATTGTAAAAAATCTATATACACAAGCAGAGTCTCCTCCTAGAGTACATATTGTAGCCGGCCTCTCGTACTATCTATGTCACCATTTAAATCAGATCAATGCTTCTTAATGTGAAAGAAAAGTTAAAACAACAAATATCGAAAAAAAATTGATAACAATGAATTGGCTTAAACTTTTGCCGTAGACTATATATAAAATGTTTAGCAACATCAATCATTTGTATATAAGCACTATGAACCGATAATTCCTCTAGTTTCGCTCCCGCTGACCATGGTTCAACTGAGCGAATACATTAAATGCAAAATCCAAGTGAAAATAGTTTTTTAAAATGAATATTAACCTAAAATAATAACTTACTTAAACACTTACACGAAATAGCTCACTTTTAAAAAAATCCCTTCAATTTTTAACAGCTATTAGATAACAGAAATGGATAAAAATCATTTTTCAGATGTTTCACATTTCAGAAAAAAACTTCACAATTAAAATTTGAAAAGTATTTTCTCACTTTTCCGATAAATTCTATTTTCAACCAATAAATTCATAACCGAACAATCAATTAGTTTCTTACGAAAACGATTAATTACTGTCTGAATTGGTTATGAGGTCAAATACTGGTCGAAAGATAACAAGAGTATGAATGGGTGTTTATGCCAGTTTTTGATGTTCATTTCATCTATAGCCTCATCGGCATTCAATCCTAAACTACCGTTAGCACACGCAAGAAAATTGAGAGAATATATTCAGATGTGTTACGAGGTCGTCAAGCTTGGTCGAAGAATTAAGCGAAATTTTCAAGAATCGTTGAACAAAACAACGAATGAAACACGACAATTTTGCTAGAGAAAAAAGGAAAATTTTCAAGATTTCGAGCAGTCAGTAGACCCCGCCTTGAGACACTCGTAACTATACTACTGCTAGAAGTCTTCCGGGTAAAAATTCAGACAGAGAAAATCGATGCTAGGACGAATCATCATAGAAAAGAAACAAGTTACAATAGGTTTTCTTATTAAGAAAGAAGCACTAGTCAATGTAATATGTTAGAAAATCTACTCTCATGTCTTAAATGATGTGATCTATATCAAATTATTTGAACACATGGGAGTGTGGCTGTTTGCTACATGTGTCACTGTGAGTGTCACGATATGGATTTGGGTCGAGAACAATAGAACTTGAGTATGACTTACACAAATTATAACCGTCTTCCGTATACCCATACCCATATATCCGAAAAAATGTTACAACTTTTTGGCCATGCGATGATATATTCGGAAGGCATTGTTCTGCGATGAACTCTTCGGTCACCATGAAATCTTCATCTATTGGTATCTGTTTTGTGAAACATCATCTGAATATAGTTTTGAAGTACATAAGGTAGAGATTCAGACATGACTCTTTTCCTATCAGATCACTCGATACAAGATCAGCGATTATATATCACAGTCAGGGTTGCCAGATCAAAATCTTAGAAATGGGAATTTTTTTGCTTGAATTCGGAAAAAAATTCGGAAAGTCATTTCTAAGCTTCTTGATAGTTAAATGATTTTTTTTCTGATAGAGAAGCCTTCTGAGTTTGATTATTCTTTCTGTAGATATATTTCATCACTGTTAAAATCAATGTGTTAATTATAACACC